CTCTTTCCTTCTCAGGGCAGGGAGTCCGATTTGATGATCTGTTGAGGTCCCCTTCAACCCTAGCATCTACGAATCTAACATGAGAATAGCGGAAAAGCAGCTAAATCAAGCCTCCCTACTCTTCCCTACATACAAAATGTTTTTACGCATTGATTTTTCTTGCAACACTTCTGTCAAACTAATCACTAAGTCCCCTAGCAGATGTTACACTTAAGTCATGATAACCCCATTAATCGTGTTATAAATAGTACCCCTGCCACATGTTCAAGGAATTAATGGCATTAAAAGTATTCCACAAAATACATGCAATATCCTTGTGGCTCGTTGCCATCATGCCTTAAATTAAAAACGGGGCAGGGGAGCAACCAATTGGAGCCACTCCAGCGCAGTCCCAGGAGTGCCAGCCCTGGGATAACACCAAAAGTAGTTCGAGACCCTGGTGCAGTCCAGGGGCAACTATACACATACCTTTTTGTCCCATGACGTACCAGAGATCCGCCGCTTCAAAGCAGACTCGATTAATTGAATCTACTCTGCACACAAGCTGACGCACACTGTGCTGTGCCACATGCAGTTGTATAAGTGGCGAAATGTGTGTCAGCACACCGAAAATGGTGATGGTACACCTCCAAAGTGTTTTAGTTCAAAAAGGGCGCCACCACCATTTTCTCAGCGCTGATGCGTGTTTCACCATTTATACAACTGCAAGCGTTGCAGTGTTAGACACTTTTCAAAAGTGGTGCTTGCATGTGTAAAAATGCCCCAGGGCTGGGGCCGACAATCAGCATGCGTTATTGCAGGAGGTGCTATTGCTGTGATCAGTGATTAGATCCCACTGTACCATTAAATGATGTCTGCCAAGGGCCTAAATGTCAGTCACTACAAATTACTCTATGTATGAGAAACACCTGTTTATTGGCCACTGACACTCAAAGGATGAACTTTAAACCATGGTTCACATCACCAGTAAATGCAACCCAGACTTCTATGGGAGTGGCAGCCATAAGTGATTGAAATTCAGCCACCAAATGCACAAGTTACTTAACTTACTTTTGTTGGCAGTGGACACTCATCCAGTAGTAATGTTATAACAGCTGGTCCCAGTGGATCTTCTAATGGAATAACTCTAATTAAAGATTGGACAACTTCCAGCCATCCTTCATCTGTCAACCAGAAAACAGAAGCAACTCTCAGAGAATGGTCCTGCTATTTGGGAGTGTTCAAAGCATAGAGGTAAAATATAAAGACAAACTTCAGTAGCATTAAATAAAAAGTCACCATACTGCAGTCTAAATGTCCCATCTCAATAGGTTTTAAAGCAGCAGTTGCTAATGCATTCTATAAGGTCTTTGGAATCTTAACTTGTAACAGCTTAAAGGCTTTAGAGAAAGAAAAATACACATTTACAAAAGATGTATTTCCCAAATAAAGCTAGGTCTGACACCTACAATGCTGAGACCAATCGTACCAGATGCTAAGCACCCCAAACACCAACTAAAGTTAAAAGGGGTACTTTAACATCAGAAGGGACAAGCACTTGGTGTATACTTCTTAGTTTGTTCTCAGAGAGTCAAGCGAACAACGTTCATCCATGGTGTTAAACAATCGTGCATCTAAGGCTGTATTACAGACAAAATCCTTCAAGCCAGACTCAGGACTGGTTTATTCCCCCTGAAATCACAGACCTTAGTTTGGTCTTTTGCTGTTGCTTGTGGCAATGCACTTCTGTAAGCTTTCACTACATGACATCAAGTAGGGTTTGCACTTACAGATGAACACAGATGTACAGCCAAAATCAGTTATAAGAAAAGTTCAGTCTTACATGTCAAATTACTATGTGTGTCAATGGGAAAGTTGGGAAGGCAAGATAAAACGTTGAAGCCATTTTGTCAGGAGCAAAAAAGTCTCCAAGGCAATGGGTTTTACCTGCTCTGAAAATTAGAAAGTATGTGGTAGATGGGGAAGGCCTTAGAAAAAAACCCAAAACAAACAAAAAAAGAAACCCCAAAACACATGCATGGAATGTGGAGGAGCTTTCCTGTTATTTGTGTGTTGCTCTGAAAACATGCTTTATTAATTAGTTTGATTGCTGTTCTGAAGAGATGCATTAGACCCAACCTCCAGTTCCTTGTGCATTCCCATGTCCGGCAACAGTGATGGGCATTCTAGATCAACAAGACATACTGTCAGGTCTGCTGTAGAGGAATTCTGCAGAGAGCCTTTGCATCCACTGAACCTGAGAGGGATGGACCCTGCACCAGGACAGCTCAGAACTGAAGACATGTTTAGAAACAGGGCTAGATCATGACTCCTGGTGCAGCACAATGGGTATAGGGGCTTTACATATGGTCAAGAGGTTGTCCATTTCCTATACATAGGTAAATTATACCTCTTCACAGAAGTTTACAGGGCATATAGCTCACTGCATAAAGCCTAGTAAAAATGGACAACTGTGTTGACACAGCCAGTTTCCATAGAAAAATGGAATACAGTTAGGAAGTGCACTCAAATACAGTGAACTCAGTGGAATTAAAATGTGCAAACAGTATTTCAGTGACTGCAAATTATGGGGACATCAGCAAATCAAGGGCAGCGCAGTCATATCTTTCTAGAAAGGTATTTCGTTGTCTCTGGCAGGTATAATGCAAATACCAAAGTGCTTTAGTACCTGTTTCTGCCATTTCATGCAATGTGATCATTGAATACGGAGGCTCCTGGTCACTGAAAGACAAATATTACATAGGTCAAGCCGGATGCTCAGCTATCAACATTAAACACTGAATAACATCCAAAACAGAGAAGTGTACTGGATTTACTCCTAAAAACATAAAGACTGAAGGCCTTTAATACTCTATGCAGGCCTGAAACAGAGATGGGCATTGTGTTTTCCTCTGGCTCAAATGTCAACTTTCGTATGTTCTCTACAGCTGGTAAGAGAGACAGTGATTTATGTTTGCACATCTAAAAAGAAATTTAATGTTTAATGCTATTCACTGCAAAACATTCCTGAAAATATACAATAAGACAGCATTTCAGAGGGCCTGAAATGGACAAAGAGTAGATCATGAGGGAAGAGAATGCTGAAATAGCTTAAATAATGTTTTTTCCAGAAAGTCTCTGCTAAAAAAAGATTCAACTGAAGGACAAACAACCCAAGGTCTCTACAGACTTTGGCATACTGAGTAGCAGAAAACAGGTCTTTTGATGAGCTTGTGGAGAACAATTCCCCATTCTTCCATCAAAAAAGAAAAAAACCGCTAAAAATTCCATTAGGTGCACTGTCATTAAAAATTTGGGGTGGGGGGGGAAGACAAGTGGATGAGTCTAACAACCAAAGATATTAAAAAGCTGGAAATAAGTAATACATGCAAACTGGGACTAAGAGAAAAGAAAATAAGGCAAGTAAGAGGGTGCTCAGTGGATTTCACAGATACCACTCTGATCGATCTGTTCCAGTGAAAAAACAAAAAACGAAAAAAACATTTTTTTAAAGGGTATAGGCTGTCAAAGGGATCCAGCACTGGGAGGTGAAGAAATGAAGGCTAAGTACAGACATTCAGAAAGTCCAAGCCAGATTCACACCAAGTTTTGCAGCTTTTTCTAGGAGTCCTAGATTACTTCAAGAGCGAATAAACTCACATTTGTTTTGCCGGGG